CAACTGTTAAGTTTCTTTGCTCTGCGTACACTATTGAAGTAAAATAATAATTTCTAGTGTGGGTCCTCCATAGTCACAGAAACATTCATTTAAAACTGAAAGTATTAGTTAAAGGATGACTGGACTGGGAAAATTAATACAAATTGATAAATTATATACTGTTATATTAATGTAATACAATACCACATATTATTAATACTCATTAATAGAATATACTTTAAATATATATTTATCTGCTAATATAGATACCTGTCCTATTGTTTAATTTTCACATAAGATACTATTTTGGAATTTAGATTTCATAGAGAAAAGGAATTTACTCTGAGTCTTTTATATAACAGTCAGCAAACTTGGGAAATAAAGATCTACTTGATAAAAATGGTAACTATTAAGCTCTTATCACCGTCATGAAAAAAGTCTAACCAAAATCTGCTTATAATTCATAATTTATTCCACAACTGGTCACTGAAGGCCTAAGAGGTTCTGGGGAGAATAAAGTGGATATGGTCTCTGATCTAATCAAGTTCTGGTAGAGTCTATTACCTTGAAGTAACACATAATGCACTATTTTGCAAATCTTCATTTACTTACTTGTCTCCCATACTAGACTACATACTCACTCCATTAGAGCAGGGGCCTTGGCTAACTCATTTGTCTATTGTCTGTCACATAATTGCTGTTCAACAATCATTAATTGAACAAACAGCACCTAGGTATTCAGGAAGCAAAATTTGACAAAAGAAAATTGATTATAAAGATTCAAGTAAGAGATGAGTGGCCATCGGTACTTGTACTACAATTATTACCAGTGTGAAAGTCAAGCCATCAGCCAAAGTGACATGTATCTATCCCGAAGAATCCTTAAATGATTCTTCCTACACAGCCTCAGATGTTCCATTTCAGGGATCAAGCACTGAGGACATAAAAGTGCAATGCCTAGAAGCCTAAATATTCTCTTTAAATAGATTTCTCTGGACTGTTCTTCCAATCTCACATCTTAAGGATAGGAAGAGATCTTAAAGTCATGCAATCTAACTTTCCAACATTTCAAGAAACGGTCTCTAATAACTGACGAGTGATATTAGACAAGTGGTAAATTTCTTGGTTTAAAGACCTCTTAATCCCTGGTGGTGCAATGGTTAACAGCTCGGCTGCTAACCAGAAGGTTGGCAGTTCGAATCCACCAGCTGCTCCTTGGAAACCCTATGGAGCAGTTCTACTCTGTCAGACAGGGTCACAATGAGTTGGAATCAACTTGACGGCAATGGCTTTTGTTTGGTTTTAATGATGAGGAAGACTCCGAAGATAGAAGATTTCATTTTCTGATAGCTCCAAATATTAAATTTTTCTGAAAGCCTTTAAACATTTGAGAATAATTAGATCTTCCCCTTAAATACCATTTCTATTATGCTGAGAATCCTTGGCTCTAATCTTGAGCTCTTCTTCATGCACATTTCTGTCAAGCTTCCTTAGTATTCTGATGGCATTTTTAGAGGTGTACATTAATTTGCCAAGAAGCAGCTTAAAATGTGGTGGCCGGTAGAGAAAAGAGTATATCAGGCAAAGCTTGGCCAACAAAGCAAAGAGAAAAACTAGTACCACCACTGCTTTGGATACTATGCTTTCTATCAAGGCAACCTGGTCATTTTCGGGTTTTTTTTTGAGCCACCTTATACTGTTGGCTCATAATGAGTTTATGATTAAATAAAGCCTAAATTCTACCACCTACCACCCCAACTCCTGTCTGCATGCTGCCACGGCACATTTTAGCTATGCTTTTCATGAATAATAATTTTTTTTTTTTTTTTTCAGTTTAAATGTCAGACTTTGTATTTCTTTGTCTAAATATAGTAAGAAAAATAGTAGAAAATGCTTATGTAGTACTTATACACCAGGCAACTTCTTAAAGCCTTACATATATTAACTTTTAAAATGCAATCTCCTTAGCTTTCACAATCAACTCTCTATAATCCTGTTAGAACACTCTCAACAATTTCTGTGATTTGTCTGGTAAACTAAAAGGAGTAAAAATGATACTTAACATTTACTAAGCACTTATTATGTTTCAAGCACTGTGCTAAGCTTATTTATTTTATTTCACTTAATTTCCCACAAACTTTATGAAGTAGGTACTGTTACAATACTCACTTTACGCACAGAAAAATTAAGACTTAGGAAATTTAAAAAACAATCCTGGTTTATAGGCAGTCAGTAACACAACCAGGATTAAAACCCAGGCCTTACTGCAAACTAGGACTACTAACTGTGATGTGCTCATCAACTTGGAATTTTACAGGCCAGACACCTAGTTATATGAATGTCCTGAAACTAAGACAACTGTCAGTATAAGGACACAGCATAAATGGCATTATACTTGGCCGGCTTTTAACTTGAACACAATGGCTCTTAACTTTTTTTTTTTTTTAAAACAAATCATGTAATCAGTACCTAAGGATGCAGGGACACTAAATAGGTTGCACTGTGCACTGTCAAAGAGTTTGGAAATCAGATCAGAAAAAGGACACCACCAGAAATGAAAACAAGTAAGTATCAATATATAGAGTTGTCTAAGGCTTATATAGTTCTATAGTGGATCACAGTATTTCATCCACTTAGAATTTATTATTATTTTTTTAACAGTATGGGGTAAGCATCCCATTAAAGTTCCTAGGTGGCATAAATGGTTTATGCTCAACTGCTAACCTAAAGGTTGGCAGTTTGAACCCAACCATTTACCACCAAAGAAAAGGCCTGATTATCCACTTCCATTAAGGTTACAACCAAGAAAACCTTACAGAGGAGTTCTACTCTGTAACATATGGGGTCGCCGTAAGTCAGAATTGACTTGAAGGCAACTAATGACACCAACAAAGCATCCAATTTCATTGATTCCCATACAGATAACTGATTTTCTCATAATAACTTAGTAAATAAAATAGTCTCTCCTTTCCTTACTAAT